TAAACAATAAATAAAAATTGTTAAACTATTTATTTTAATTTATTATAAATAAATGAACTGAGTTTAGAAGATGGATTTAATACTTTAATTATATTTTTCTTATTCGTAAATAACGGATAAATGTCAATTGTCTTGTGCCAGTGCTGGGTAGTCACATACATAGAACTATAACATTATATCATTATATTAAAACGATTTGTACATGCTATTTACTGGATTCTGGTACTAATTCATCTCTACATATCTATATTGAAAATTTAAGAAATTAAAACAAAATTGAGAATGTTTTAACTCAGCAATTTAAAATATAAAACCATTAACAAGCATCTAATTGTAAGCGTCTCTTAGTATAACTGTATAGGTAGTTCCAAACTTAAAACCATAACATCGTAACATTGTGTGATAAGTATTAAAATTGAATCCACGATGTCTACAAGTCTAAGTAGAATACATATTTTTAGCTTTCAAACCATCTTGATACAGGTCATGCATAGTACCATGACTAGCCGAATTTCTATTGCCTTATCCTTATTTAATCCAAATAAATAATTAAACATCAATAGCTTCAAAATCTTTTCCTTTCATTACTTCTTTTCATAGTTTGATATCATAGTCATGATAACGGATAAACAGTTACTATTGTAATTATATAACGAATCTTCAATTGGTCATTCACTTTTTAAATAACAATTTATTTGAACAACCCCAATGCAAATTATCAACTTGTCCATTGATGATTCACATCACAGAAGGAAATTCTATGCACCATATAATCACATTGTAAAACTATTCTATTTAATATAAGATCATAATAAATCCCTGAGTAATGTGGTTTAACATATATGGTGCCTAATTGAAAAAAACCATCTAAATATTTATTTCATTTTTAATAATATAAAAGATGTTTGTAATATAATTTCAATGAACATTTAATATAGAATATTTAATAATGTTTAATTTTCTAAAAACCATTTAGAGTCATTCCACACCAGACTGATCATTCTTTTCCTTCGATATCTTGGCTTTTATATTCTTTTCGAATGTTTAAAAACGGAACCTCAGGCTCGTATCTTAGAAATAAGAATTTGTTTATAACTATTAACATTGCAAAAACAATTTTTCAGTCACATCAAAATTTATTTAAAAAGGTGGTTTCTTCCCAAGTACGATTAAAAAAGGACATCTCTATACAACCAACAGTTTTTGAGACAAAAATTTCTAAGTACAATCTATTTTCGCAAAAATGGGCAAAAATTATAAATTTCAGAGCACTGCATCTTTTAAACAAATTAGATATTTCAGTTTGAACAAATCAAGGAAAATATAAACCGCATGTTCTCGTATTACTGCTTTATAATTTCATCTTTCTTCTAGAGTTCAAGGTCACGTTTCAGGTACACTGAAAATATTTTTCTTCAAAAATACATTTTTTGTACATAAAACGTGATAAACGAAAAATTTTGTTTTTATAGCATGTATACATAAATTCCCCTTTGGAAGTCATTTACATTATGTATATTACAAACATTTTGTATAACATTAAAAACAGAAAAGATATTTAGCTGGCCTTCTCTAACTAGAGCACATTGTATAATTGTGTATATTTTCTAATGCAATACAAAAGTATGTCAATTATGAATTAATTCAATTTTACATTGTTAACTGTAGAATAGAGGTTAAACGTAAGAGAGATTAAAAACGTAATGTAAAATGAAATATTAATAATTCATGGGATCAGGTTAATCATTATTTTGTGTACTCTTCATTTTATTATTGGTAAATCAATACATTATGTGGTATAGGCCCTAAATTCGATTCTATACCAGCCCGGGAGTTCATCTTAAAGGTGTATCTAAGTTCGAATCCTGATCCTGACCGCATGTGCTACTCTCACTTCACGTGTGCGACAGGTCTGTTCAAATGTAACATATCCGACAAAATTGTAGATCTTTGTAGAAAAATGTCTAAATCTATCTAGTAACTATCAATTATAAAATTGTAATATTATATCTTTGAAGCTTAATCCTTCCCCTATAGAAAAGATGTTTTCACATAGCAGTATAATTGTTACATGTATAATAAATGACAAATCTTTGCAATAAACTCTTACATGTTTATATTATCAGACGTAGATCTTGTGACAAGTACAACTTAATTTATAAATGACTCCTAATAGTTTATAAATTATAAAACATACAACTGTAAAAGTTTCTATACAATGTGTTTTGTAATTTAATAAAGTGTACATTTATGTACATATATCAGTTGAATTCACGTAAGGGATTTATCTGTTTGGTAAAGCTTTTCAAAGGCTTCTTACAGAGTTAATTGAACTAATTCAATAAATTGTCATTGCAACACTCGTTGGATTTGTATAAAAATAATTCAGAATCCATATAAATGAAAGATAATAATTTTATTTATTCTATTTCTTTCATTTTTTTAAATTTTCTAACC